AAAATAATGTCAATATATAAAATAAATTATGTCCTATAGTCGACGTCTGAACGTAGCCTTTCGCTCCCATTGCGGTTTTCCGGTTTGCGTCAGTAAGATTCTTGATTAAAACTTGTCATAACTCCACCTCTGTCCTCTCTGTCTAATTTATCCGCGTAGGTACCTTATTCAGGCAGACATCTTGCATGTACATACATCAATCGGCGATTTTATTCCTTTATATATGTGTCGAGCGAGTCTAGACGTCTGTTTACACGGGAAACTGTCAATCGCTAGCGGGGCGACGCCTTTCATTGTGGCTTGTTCTTTAAACTGAATACTTATTGCATTTCCAATAAAAATCGTAAGCTCCTTTCTCCTTCTTATGGAGATCAATTTACCAGATATACGGATTAACGATGTTTATACACCTTTTTATACTTATGGAATGAAATGAAATGAAATTTATTTATTCACACAAAACACAGTAGATACATTTTGGTGATGATTTTCATTTAGTTCGTCCATTTTGCCAACGACAGTGAATGTCAAACTTAATTTAATTCTAAAATTTATAGGTACTTATGTCATTTTACTTATTCTATTCTAAGTCAATTTTCGTTTCTAAATATTCTCTAACTGAGTAAAAACATTTCGTTATAAGCCACATTTTAAGCTTCCTTTTAAGTATAGGCAAGCTAAGCTCTGTTATCAAGGGTGTATTATTATAGATTTTTATACAATTTGGATAGCAGTTCTTATTGTATAAAACCTGTAGAGAAAAAATCATTTAAAGTTCTTCTACTTCATTTGTTTAATTTTCTCGTTGGTTCCGATGTGATTGAATTTGCTTTTCGAGTCTTCAACAATTTCCTGAGTTTAAACATAGGATTTTGGTCATCGAGTTCGAGGCCCGAGAAGTCTTAACTGCCCTTAGCGTAATAAAATATGTCTCCTTCTTTCACCAACACTAAAATAGAAAAGTTTGAGCGGTACATTGCGTCATCGTCAGCCAGTAACGGAACATACGTCTGATACCGTTTTGCGTCACAATCACAACTCGAGTGTTCTACGCAGACACTGATGTGCGTCACGCATACTTTAATGAAACGCAGAACACATTTAACAATATGCGCTATCTTGTAGTATTATTTATATCTATCCATACATGGATGTTAAACGGGAAAAAAAACAATGCCATTTCACGTTTTAGATTTTCACTTTCTCGTCATGATGATGACCTCCGTGACGAGTGGTTTGTGCGCCGGGTTACATGGTGTCGCCGACTCGAGAGGTTCCGGGTTCAAATCCCGGTGAGGGCAGATGTTTGTGTGATGTATACGAGCATTTGTACTCCAGTCATGGATGTTTAATATGTATTTTCTATATAAATATACTTATATATGTACAGTATATGTATTCTATCCGTTACCCTAGCATCCCATAACACAAGCCTTACATTGCTTACTTTGGGGCTAGGCTAATTGGTGTGAGTGTTGGAAATATTTATTTATTTATTATTATTTATTATTTGTCATGTATCTATCCATACCAATTACATCTACAACCTACTTAAGAGCTACTGAGCTAAGCTGCTGGTAGATGGATGGACATGGTCGTATCTCATGCTCACCCAAGAATTCTTAGATTCCCCTGGCTAGTGGATAGGATTAGCAGGACTGCCGGAGACAAGGGGCAGATTTGTGCTATTGTCTATTATAAAGGGAGCATTTGTCCAAATCGCTTCACTTTGTATGGTAATGTTATCTTATAGTATTGTGACTCTGCCCTGTCTTTCAGATAACATTACCGTGGCATTATAACCAATATTTTTGGAAAAAGACACTGCCCGTTTTTTTAAGACTCATTTACATCCTATACTTTAATATTATAGACAGGAAAGATTTGATTGTTTGTTTGTATTGAAATAGCTCCGAAACTACTGGACGGATTTGAAAAATTCTTACACATTTAGAATCTTACATTATCAATTGTGACCATAGGCTATAGAGTATTTTCAAAAAAGTTAGGGTTCCGTATATAAAATTCGATAATGTAACCCAGGGTGTGAAAAAATACCAAAAAGTTACCTTATATCGCTTACGCTGTAGAAGTCATCAACAATGCAAAGTGATGTAATAAAGTTTTATAGAGGACATAAATGTCTGCAAGAAAGTCCGCGATATCATATGTCATAACTATTACAGTTATGTCACAACTAAAGGTCCCCGCGGTTTTACCCGCGTTGATTTGAAGAAAAGGGTTATAGTGAGTCAAACTTAAAAGGTCAAGAGAAGAGGTCATATGCTGTCGCGGACTTTTTTGTAGAACTTTTAAAAGGGAAACAATTCCGTCATACATGATTTTTGTGTAACTTTAATCATTTACGTAACCCACGCAACGGAATCTCCCAAATGGAATATTTTCACCCGTTTTTGCCACATTTTACATCGATACTCCGCTCCTACTGGTCGCAGCGTAATATTATATAGCCTCAAGCCTTCCTCAATAAATGCACTATCTAACTCAAAAAGATATTTTAAATCGGACCAATAGTTCCCAAGATTTGCGCGTTCAACCAAAAAATGTGCATTCGGTACAACGGCTTCTAAAGAATGCAAAATTTTCACTTAATAATTTATAATATAAAAAAAATCACTGTGTATATAATATATAATACAAGCCTGAAAAGAAACTATAGTCTACATTACAGCTCTACACCGAAGCGAAGCGAGGGCGGGTCACTAGTATTTAATATTTGAATACAATAACCCCTTGTCTGTGTATGAGGTGCAATAATTAAACTCCAAGTTCTGTAAGTCAGTTTTGAAAAAAAAATTAATTTGTAAATGTCTTTTGTTTATACCAATACAATTATGTAGATACTTTCAAGTATCGAGATCATTACTTTCAAGTTTTATAACACAGGCTTGTATGTGCGTGTACTATTTATTGGAGAGTTGCCCTTAATATTGCATGTATTTGCGTTGGCAAATTTTTCATTAGAGAATCCCTTAGAGAAGAGAATAAGTTGTTAGTTGCCGAAAGAAGGATTCTGCGGAAGATCCTGGGACCGACTTAAGGAGAGGATGGCAGCTGGAGAGTGCGGACGAACATCGAGCTGGTAAATCTAGTGTCCGAACCCCACATCATAGGAGAAATTAAAGCAGCTAGACTTCACTGGCTCGGACATGTAGAGAGAATGGGAGAGGATGGAGCCGTGAAAAGAGCGTATTTGGGGCGACCGATTGGACGACGGCCCGTTGGACGTACCAGATACCGCTGAAGCGATGAGGTGCAGAAGGACTTGCAGTCTTTGAGTGCCGACTGCTGGTGGGACCTAGCTCGGGATCGCAGAGCATGGTGTCATCTTATGTCGAGGGCCAAGATCCACTTTGGATCGTTGCGCCGCAGCAGTGGTAGTGGTGGTGGTGACATCACTTCTCTTTTTTTTCAATTGGAATGTGACTACATTTCACAGCTGTTACCGGAAGTCGCTGAAATCAACCTGTTATCTTTAATGAAAATCACGAGACGAGAGACGTGGTTATTCTTACCCAGCACACACAAAGTGTTTATAGCGTTAAAGTATTTTTCAAGCTAAACTATAAAATAAAATTTCGTTCTTTATATAGACAGTAAAACTTTCGCAATAAACCATAAAAGTAGAATGTGTGATTCATGAAAAATAAATACCTACCCATACTTAATACAGAAAATATGCACGGAAAACTGTATGAAATGATCGAATATGCAAATACATACAACGAATGTTAGATTAGCATACAAAAGCTCTTATGAATTGCTTCCTAATAATAGCACTGGCTACCCCCTTGCAAATTGCGTGACTGATACACAATAGGGTTGGCAGTGGGACTTGGGATGCCACAATCACATGCAATCTCTTGCACCTTGTTTTTAGCAATTATAAACGACTTTGATAAAGAAAGTAGAGTAGAAATAAACTAGTAGGGCACCTTATGTATTAATGAATTGTAACTTGTAACCGACTTATAAAGAAAGTAGGGTCAAGTGTGGCACAGTCTAGCAAAAGGGGCAGAGTGTAACACTTCTTATTTGTCTATGGTCTGCCTTGACGTGGTTTATTAGTTTCATATGCCGCCATCTTAAGCAAATGTCGTCAGACGTCAAATGCCCAGGTATAATATAGAGATATTCCTTTGGTTACTCTGTCCCCCACTTGACCCCAGTATAGAAAGAAACTACTGATTTCAAGTCAGTGTTGCCAGGTCCGATTTTAAAATTTGGCGAGAGGTTACAGGAAAAAAACAGAAGATGTATGGAAAGAGCTGCAAGAAAAAACAGTAGAAGCAGGGGCGTTTCTTTTCCAATTTGCATTGAAATATTATTGTTTTCCGTTTATTCTCTTATACAGTTTAATAGAATTAGGAGTATTAGATATTAACTAGCAAACTAGTGAACCAAATGTTCACCAAAAAAAAAAGTATTTAATTAATTGAGAACTTCTGAGATTTTGTGTGGTTTCGTTTGAAATAGAAATCACGTTATTTCTCGAAAACCGGAAGTGCTACGTTACTCAAATCCGGTGTGTAGTCTTATCAGACTATTCTTAACTTATAACTTAAACATTCTCTTTATCTATCTCTTACGGTTTGGCCGCTGAAACAGCACCACGGACGGACGGAGACGGACGGACTTGTCTAATAGATAAGAGATATAGGCTGTTAAAACAAGCACTGTCGAACATCAACGGCGGGCGGTAAACAACCCTGCGATGACCAATCGGCTAATGGCCGTTCGTGAGCTTTTTTTTTCAATGTGCCGAAAGAGTCTAACTTCAGTTCAGTTCATATCAGTTTACGTTTTTTGTACAGATCTGGTGTACAGATATGGATGGAGGCATCTGAGCTGAGAGATTTTGATTGTTTTTTTAGCCAAAAACTTATTTAAGTATCAAATGTTCACCTTGATATTAAGAATTAATACGTCATAATGCTTTGTGCACTGTTAAAGAACTATAAGTTTTTCTTTGTTCACAGGAAAAGAACTCGTTCTTAAACTACAACGTGTCTTGTATATTGACATTGCCACCGTACCAGCGGCAGGGTTACGGAAGACTACTCATAGACTTCAGTGAGTACCAATCCATTTTTAACCTCAGTATAACCTAACCTAACCTAACCAAGGTTCTCAATTCAGTTTTTTTAATGTATTTACACGGATTACGAAGTTTTTTTACAACACACCATTTAGCCTAGCCCCAAAGTAAGCACTGTAGGCTTGTGTTATGGGATACTACGGTATCGGAAAGAATACATATATGATTACCTATATTTATATAAAAATACTTATTAAAAATCCATGACTGGAGTACAAATGATCTTATTCATCACACAAACATCTGCCCCCACCGGGATTCGAACCCGGAACCCGAAAATGTTTGGACCTCTCGAGTCGGCGACACCATGAAACCCGGCGTACAAACCACTTGGCCACGGAGGTCGTCAAATTACCCAGATTTTTGATCGGATTTACGTGATTCTTTTTTGTACATTCCGTCATAAATACTAAGGAACTCTTTACCAACATCCTTAATTCCAATTAAGGCTTTATCCCGTTTAACATATTATATATTAACATATGGCGGCAGAATAAAGTACACTTTAGATCTAATAAAAAAAGAGGTTCGAAAATTAACTGTAATGCTATCACCCACTCAACAGTCCACGGCAACTAGAGCTGCCAGTCGCAGAAGGACCTCAACAGTCCGCGGCAGCTATAGCTGCCAATATCAAAATATCGCGCCGCTCGCTGTTTTTAAATTTCGCCTAAAAAGACCTTTGCCTTGCTCATAGATACTCTCTTTGGACAGATTATTTAATCTGTGACCTCGTAGTAATGAGAGACCGGCTTAATCTGATCTGACATATACAACATTAATTAGCTTTTCAATTTGATTTAAGAACTTTAGGTGTAACTAATCCAAGCTTATTCTTGGTTAATTAAGAAGGGGGACCATGTTTGTTTATTTATTTATGTGTATCTACGCAGACGGATTAAGCTTATTTTTTCAAGCAGTGCTTAGAAAAAGTAAATGCTTTTAACACAGTTTTCAATTTATATGATTTTAAAGTAATTTTTGAAGTTTAACGTTCGTTACGTTTTTCTTGTACATAAAAAAAATATATGTCCTTAAAAACTTATTTTTGTAGTTTTTAGTAAATAGAGAGGTACTTTAAACGTACTTTATTGGTGTACTATTATTATAAAGTACGCCTACATGAAAAAGACGAGGAAAAGTCTAATTAAGAGTACGGTTGGCAACCCTATCTGTTATTAATAAATCCCACTTACACCAAAGTTTTTAAATAAAGTAAAAGCAAAATCAAATTTAAACCTCATTAAATCCCTATCTCTTGAAAATATGGAGTGGTTATAATTCTTATTATTTTTGAAGCATGTAACTGCTTGATGTGTAAATCTAAAGAAAATATAACTAGAAAAAAAATGTGGGTTACCTATAATGTGAAGAGATGGCGCTGTCTTGCAGCTTAAGAATGGCTAGAATAATTTCGACGCGGTCCGTGAGGGCCGCGGTAGCATAATTGGTCAGTGCATTCGCCCGGATTGCGAAGGGTGCGGGTTCGAGTCCCGTCTGCTGCCTGGTCCGCGTGGATTTTTTCTATTTATATTTTCTCTAGATATGGAGTGGTGTTTTTAAAAGGTAGGTTTTATTGGATTTGACATAGTTGATGCTAAAGGTGCACCTAAAATTATGTTTTTAAAAACAATATTGTATTAACAACGTTGAAGGCCGTGATTGAATGCTTTTCGTGTATAATAAAATTATCAACCGGCTGGGTACAATTGCGATGATTACGGGTAAAGTAAACAAAATTCTATTAACTCAGTTTGATTATCAAAAACTCGTATTTCAGAATTACAGAGATGAAGCGCGTCAAAGTTTGGGAGTGGTGGCCCGTGACGTCGGTTGTTTGAGTTAAAATTGTACCAAGACGAGACGTTGAGCGACATTTCAAATCAACATTTCTTGTCAACAATGTTTGATTATTTGAATAAAGAAAAAAATACGCGTTCAATTATTAATCTCATTAATAATGTACCTGTTAGGCGAAGAAAAAAAGTGAGTTCGAAAGGAAATTTTACTAGAAAAACAAATCCACGCAGACCAGGCAGCTGACGGGACTCGAACCCGCACCATTATGTTACCTCCAACTTAAGAAGGGCTAGAGAAAGTTCGACACGGCCATCAGGGCCGCAGTTGCATAATGTTCAGTGCATTCGCTCTGATAGCGAAGGGTGCGGGTTCGAGTCCCGTCTGCTGCCTGGTCTGCGTGGATATTTTATAGTAAAATTTTCTTTCGATTTAAACATCTAGCAGTTACATGCTTAAAAAATAAAAAAAAACTTACTTATTATCCCTATTAAAATGTTATGACAAAAACATTCAGTACAAACATTAATAACAAATATATAATTCCTTGCCTTCATAAAAACAAAACCATTTGCACCGTAATCTCCTGTTTCCAAGTCGGTTAAAAATTACCGTAATACTTAATATTCCAGATTTCTCGGTCGAGTGGTTGAGCGGTCATCAACCTAGAAAACCTATAACGATCGAGGGTTCGAATCTTGCTGGGGCATATTGTGCATATTAATATAATATGAGGTGTTTTTAAGGTCATATACAATTTTAAAGCTCGGGTTAGTTAAGATCTGAATAATTGCATAAACTTATGTCTCATGTCGAACTAAAATTAAGACGAACACAAAGAATACCTGCTAACTTTTTCTGCATACAGTTGCAATTTAAGTATACTTTCTGAAACTATAAACAAATGGTCAAAATTCAAACCACACGGAATGCCGTTAAGCACGTTACGCAAACTTGATACTTCCAAGGATTTGATAAAACATAAGTTATTTATTTGAATACATATTTTATGGGGAACTTATCAATTTCAATACAGTGACTATGTTTGGAATCACTAGAAAACAAGTATCTTACTCATATTTACATACAGTGTTTATATAAACTAGGTCGCCCTCCATTCTGTATGCATATCCGTTTGTCCATTTATTGGACTTAATAAGATTTTTATTATCAATAGGATAGTATTTCACGGAAGGTTTAAATATAATTACATAAAAAACAAGCTCACGAATAAAAACAAAAAAATCTAAAATTCTAGTCATCAAAGCGAAACTAGAGTGAGTCACTAGCTAGTAAGTACACAATAATGTGTATGTATATTGAGAAAGCGCGTCTGTATGAATAAATACCCAAAAGTCTGTATTCGTCGATATTCCCAGTATTTGGAATAGTTCGTTGAACGCAAAGCTTATTTGTCTTGACCTGACCTACGCTATAGGCGAGGGTTGGCATAGGTTGTATTGTAATACGAAGAAATGTTGGTTATAATAATCATAAAATATTTTAATTCGTAAAATGTTTTTTATAAATTTAGTTTTGTTTGTAATTTTAATGAAATACTTATTAAAATTTTATAAATCGTCTACTAAAAATTTTTTTGTTTTCTTTTGTTTTAGTAAACTAAATAAAAAGGTTTAAATTAGATTTCTAAATTTTCAAAATACTTAAGTCGGTGTATCTTTTTTTAAACAATTTAAATCAATTGTATACTCCAATATTTAAAAAAAAAAGATAGTAAGTAAAATTTAAAAAAAGCCTACCAAAAGTTGACCACTTTTTAATCATCAATAAAAGTGTAGGCTCCAATGATACTACGAGGGCGATAAGTAGACCAATTTCGGCGTTCACCTGTGCGGTCACGGGCGGGCGGCGGGGTTTGTTTTGCCTCGGCCGAGGGCGGGCGTCGCGCCGGTCGCGGCGGCCGTTCACCCGCCCCGGATCGATGAACTGCAGTATAGATCGGTCTGCCGTCTAGACGCCATCGCCACCCGGCTGCCACCCCCGTAACAGGGGCTAGAGTCGAGACGCAACCGACGAATTGTAGATGCGACGAATTTTGATGCCGCACGCCGCCGCCGCCGCGCCGTTAATTATTGTTTTAGCTGTAACCCTGTCGGTGACAACCCTAATTGGGTTGTCTTTTGTTTTCGTGCGGGGCGCTCTTTCGCGTCCGATTCCAGGTGTCGAATCGAATCGAACAGGATTCGATTTTTTTTATTTTAAATGTACTTTTTAAGTATGGGCTTGTGTATACTTATGTATATATACTAAATGTATACTAAAAAAGGCAAATAAGAGCGGTCATTAAACCGATCAGCCATTACACTTGCCGGGGCGGTTGCGTTTTACAGGAAAAAGTTTTTATTTTTTTTAAAAACTGCCTTTATATTTTCTTTTTGTAATCAAAAATATGCTGTTGTTTTCTATACTTCAAGCTGTTTAATTTGATATCCATATTTAGAAATCAAAAATTTTTATTCACCTATTGAACGCTGAATTTCAGAATCGAAAACCAAAAATGATCAAAATTTCTTTCATTTTGTAGAAAACTTCATAAGATCTGGCAAATGGATCTTCTGGAATTTATCCTAGCTTGACCACTACAACACAGTATTAGAATTATACAAACCGATTTAACAACGCTTAATCTCAAAATAGATAGGATTTTTACAGTTACGTATCAATAACTTACTGTGTCATCATGACCATATAGCGGTGGTCATGATACGGGAGCTGAGAATATCACTGGCCTGGCCTTTTTTGTGTCTGGGAAATGCCTTATGCATCCTTCAACTACCGGGGCAGCGAGACGAAGGTATGTGGGACTCCTCCCTGCTCATTTCAGCTAGCCTTTGGGGCTAATGATATAAGCAGGGCCCTACCTAACGCCCTGAAGAGGGCCGCTAAAAACCAGACAATACTTCTGCACCAGTCACTCACTGGCTTGGCCTACCCTAAGCCACTTTCCCATAACCCGTGATGAATAAGTAGTCTTCTTCTGGTTGATGATTCTGAGCCTTACAACCTTATAATCTAAAGTAAAGGTTACTTTCTAAGACAGGCGATTAAATTTGAAATAATAAATAAATAAATATTTCCGACACTCACACCAATTAGCCTAGCCCCAAAGTAAGCACTGTAAGGCTTGTGTTATGGGATGCTAGGGTAACGGATAGAATACATATACTGTAACATATATAAGTATATTTATATAAATACATATTACACATCCATGACTGGAGTAGTAAATGCTCGTATTCATCACACACTGCCCCCACCGGGATTCGAACCCGGGACCTCTGGAGCCGGCGACACCATGAAACCCGGCGTACAAACCACTCGGCCACGGAGGTCGTCAAATATAATACATATATATATATATATATATATATATATATATATATATATATATATATATATATAATATCAATAATAATACGTGATCCCGCCTTATTATCCTCTTAAATTAGTATTTCAATAGACAAACGTTTCTCCAAGTTTTCCATTAATTTAAGAGTAGACAATACAATAAATTGAACAATGGAGTTGTGTTTAGTCTCCAGACGAAAATCTATTTGCGTGCCCGAAACTCAAACCACGATGTTGTTACACATGGTGGCAATATTGAAAATTCAAATGTACAACGTGAATCCATAAGAATTATTAAAAATAAATCCATGGTTCGGTACGAATTTAGATTTTTTAAAGCGAAAATCTACTTTATTTATTATTATTTTTTAGTAAAATATACGCGATAAAAATAATACAGAGGTATTTATTTTTAACAAATTTTGAATTCAATAAATTAAAAAGTTAAAAATTTGTAAAGAAAGCTGATTTTGGTTGCTTGCTTTTAAAACAAAAATTCATAATGTATAGAAATACGTAAATTGATTAAGTGTATTAATACGTGTTCACTGGTCCTTACCTATACGTTTAATTATAACTACATAGGTACACAAGTGAAAAATTCATGCCAAAATATCACTGAATTATTTTTCATCTTTATATAGTTTTGAAGATCAATAAGCGCAGTTGAATCTGGTGTGTAAAGAGTTACTACTCAGTTACATAATGACATAGCTAATAAAGGCTCTTATCGCTATATTTCTACTAAATGTATACTAATAAAGGCAAATTGGAGCGGTCATTAAACCGATCAGCCATTACACTTGCCGGGGCGGTTGCGTTTTACAGGAAAAAGTTTGAATTTAGCACGATCCGTTCCGCATGCTGGTCTCTGCACACAAGCTATGCTCAGCCGCCGCTGAAGTTGATGCGTTTCACAAACGCAACCCTAGTCTGTAACAACTATGGTACAGTACTGCGAATTCCTTTGCCAAACGGACGGATTGAAATAAAGAACAAGTTTTCTGCAAGATTTTTATTGAGCATTTTCTTGTTTTTTGACTTGCAATATCTTAGTACATAAGAATGGTGTCCTTTCCGCTTTGTTGGTAGGCAATTCAGGTGGTCCCTCCGTTTCTATTGATTGTGTAAGTTTAGTGTCAAAATATTTTCGTAATGTGAGTGTAAAATTGCGACTTTTGTCATACGTCGTAGAATGATTTGAAGAATCGTTTTTTTAGCGAAAACGCTGAAAATGAGACAATAGCAATGACACCATTGCTCAACTCCTTGAATTTTCGCGAAAAGTGGATTCCTACTACATATACATAATCTAAAATATACTCCGCTCCACTCGATTAAGTTCAAAATTTTTAAAAGAAAAAACTTTTTTCACTTGTTTTGGCTGGGCCTAGTGTATTCTTTTAGTAAAATTTTCTAGCGATAAAATGCTTAAAAATTAAAAAGTTTTTTTATGTTTAATAATAAATATACAATCAAGCAAATTATGAGTCCTTGATGTCATATGATAGATCACTCGGAACATCAGGCTGCAGTAATTGAAACTTCAGCACCTATGGGAATTAGAATAGGGATGATGACTTCCTTTTTTATTCGTCTATCAGGTAGATTATCATGAAGAAAAAAAAATACAATTTTATTAGCCCTTAAACAGGTGTAGTACGTAATAACAGGTATAGAATATTAACATCTAAAAGCTAAGCAGGACCCTGCCTCAGCATTAGCTGGTACGACTTTGTGTCGCACAAGCGCTGATATTCTGACAGGGCCTGTTTAGAGTGACACCATACAGCATAAATAAAGACATAATTTCATCAAATATTGGACACGTTTTTCTTTATGCACATAATCATAACATTACAGAGATGTATTGGTTTTGAAATGTCGCATGATGTTACGTCTTGGTACAATTTTCACTTGGAAGTGACGCCACGAGCCCTGAGCTCTCAAAAAATATGGTGTCCCTTAGTTTTTGATAATCTAACTGACGGACCTAATAGACTTTCATTTACTTTACCCAGTCATAGTCATATTCCCGTCATATATTAGGGGCATATATGATTTATAAGGGATATTTTCCCGCAGTAAAACGTAGCCTATGTGTTAATCCAGGGTGTCAGCTAACTCCTTACCAAATTTTAATAAAATTGCTGCAGTCGTTTAGACGTGAAGAAGTAACAAACATACACCCTCACACACTCACAAACTTTCGCCTTTATAATATTAGTGTGATTACCTATCAAAACCACACTATTTATGCGAATCCTCTTTTCTGACAAACTTTTCTCCAATTACTTAATCGCAGCGACATTTTAACAAATGGTCCCTTGTCACTAAAGGGTTAAGAACCGCTGCTTTAATTCTTCAAATTTCACATAGCCAGTGCGTTATCTGTCATCTAGTCTAAAATGAATCCATTCTCCGAGATAATCCACAGCTCGCCACGCTACGAAACAGTAACGATCACAAGAAAAACTATGAATTTAAATGGTAACTGTGCGTTCCGGCTGGGTCGGCCCGGTATGATATATGGAGTTGCGCGCGCGCCTCCGCTTTCCTGTCTGTAATTGCACATGCAACTCATTCTTTATTTGATCGGTGATTCGCGGCATATCCGATGTGATTGTTACAGTCGTAATAATATAATACACGACTGACGCTAAACGCGATTCTGTATGGCATACTATGAACAATGGAAGAAGTAATGTTCCTGCTGTTTATATCTCTTTGGTTTTCAAAGCATTAAGCTTTGACGTCCGGTTGTCACAGTGATTCATAAGTCGATAGAACTTCACTTTTTTCTCATTTAGATAACATATGTTATGAGAAATTTCAAAAGAGCCCTGCCCTACCTAAGTAATGGATTGCTCCACAAAATAAATAGTACAGAAGGTAATTTACATACAAATTGCGCTCGAGCAACGCACACATAGATTCGCTCACGGACACGGATCTCGGACCGCTTGGGACCACTGCCAGCGCGAGTTCCATCTGCTTATGATACGCGTTTCGTAACATTTAGTGAATAAATGAAGTAACAAACAAGTTATAATCACTGTACAGTCAACGGTTGTTTGAAGTCAAGAAATTGTAAAACGGTGAATAGTCGTTTTTTTTTATTTGTTCCTAATTTAACAATAACATTAAAATTTAAATACTTTAGTTATTCTTGGTTTATATATCCACATTGTTCCTGTTTCATACTCAACAATAAATCGTACAACTAGATACATACGAGTACCACAATTTTTTATGCACAAGACAAAGATGTCAATCCTAGAATCAGCGTCATATGATTACAAAAAAGATAATATATGATCAATCAAATTATTATGAAATAGACATTTACAACTTGTGACCCTTAATGTGTGCATGCAATTATGATGATCCTTAGATGGTAAACATTTTCTGACCGCCAGTGTACATACATGGAGATTACCTTCTGTAGGAACTCTTTATTTTGTAGTTGCACTCTCAAAAGTTTGAGATAAAAGATAATGCTCAAATAAACATCGCATAAGTGGCTCACGAACTTGTTCTTTGTTAATGACTTAGGCCTACTTGCAGCAAATTTGCTGAATCTCCATTTGGAAATGCACACCATTTTCTTATTAGAAAAAGATTAAATCTAAAGAGAATTTTACTACAAAAATTCCACGCGACAATCAAGGTCGCGGTAGCATAATGATTAGTACATTCGTCCGGATAGCGAAGGGTGCGGGTTCGAGTCCCGTCTGCTGCCTGGTCCGCGTGGAATTTTTTCTTGTAAAAATTTCTTTAGATTGAAACCTCAAGCAGTTTAATGCTTAAAAAGAAATATATAACTAGAAAAAGTTTGTTACATTACCTAAATTAGATAAAGGTACTGTTTTTCTCGCAAATGTGTTCAAAAACATTGTATGATATCCGTGAATCCGAAATTGGTATTAATAACCAACTAACCGCACTTATATCATAAATAAGTATAAGAAGAAACTTACTTAGATTGTGGGCTACCTACAATGCGAAGGGATGGCGCTGCCTTGCTGCTTAAGGCTAGGAAAATTTCGACGCTCCCATCAGGGCCGTGGTAGCATAATTGGTCTGTGCATTCGCCCGGATTGCGAAGGGTGCGGGTTCGAGTCCCGTCCGCTGCCTGGCCGGCGTGGATTTTTTTTCTAGTAAAATATTTTCTTTAAACTTACTTAGACTTTTATGGGCCTTATACTATACAATACAATCAGAAATGATATTGTGAACGAAGACGTGCTATCTTAGACAGAAGCGATCTGTCTGAAACGGCAGATCGTTTCGTTTAAAGGGGCCTAGTTACATTACAAAATGTCTTGTTGCAGGTTACTTGCTCACAAAGGTGGAGGGTAAAGTCGGTTCGCCTGAGACTCCCCTCTCTGATCTTGGTCTCATATCGTATCGTTCTTACTGGAAGGAAGCGCTACTTCGTCGGCTTTGCTCAGCGCCTGGCCCTACCTTATGCATCAGGGACCTTAGTAAAGACCTGGCGATAGCCTCTTCAGACATCGTGTCCACCCTCCAAGAGAGAGGACTGATGAAGTATTGGAAGGGCAAGCATATTGTGTTAAAGAAACAGGTAAGTGCCTGTCACAAGCAAATGAATGTCTGTGTCGTGAGTTGTATTTCTTTGGGTTTTAGAAGTGTAAGTTCATAGCCCGCTTATTTTTCTTTTGTGTCACTTAGTTCTTTTAAGTTCTTTGATTTCCAAAGCGAGTAGTTAATATTACAGGTACTCTTGAAACTCTGTAATTTAGAGAAGGAAAAATGGATGACAATCACGATAATATCGAAAGTTAAGAGTTTCGGTTCAGTCATAGAGCTATGTTTCAATTGCTTTAATTCTGCAAAACTTAAGAATGTCATAACAAGACTTGATATGCGTACCAGCTCCCTTTTTACGATAAGTGACGCTGATTCCTCTTTGTCGTTCATCAGGAGGTACTAGAGGAAGTCTCCCGGCGCGCTGAGCGTGCGCGCTGCGTGGAGGCATCGTGCCTGCGCTGGTCGCCCCCAGCAGCTCCCGCACCCCCCCGCTGACGCCGCGCCGGGCGCGCGCGGCCCCGGCCCCGTCGACCGCCGCGCCTGCGCCCCAACAGCAGCGCCGCGCGCGCGCTGCTCTAGACCCGCGCCCGCTGCACAGGTACCAGCCCCCGCGCCCGCACATATAGCGCGCGCGGCCCCGGCCCCGTCGACCGCCGCGCCTGCGCCCCAACAGCAGCGCCGCGCGCGCGCTGCTCTAGACCCGCGCCCGCTGCACAGGTACCAGCCCCCGCGCCCGCACATATAGCGCGCGCGGCCCCGGCCCCGTCGACCGCCGCGCCTGCGCCCCAACAGCAGCGCCGCGCGCGCGCTGCTCTAGACCCGCGCCCGCTGCACAGGTACCAGCCCCCGCGCCCGCACATATAGCGCGCGCGGCCCCGCCCCCGTCGACCGCCGCGCCTGCGCCCCAACAGCAGCGCCGCGCGCGCGCTGCTCTAGACCCGCGCCCGCTGCACAGGTACCAGCCCCCGCGCCCGCACATATAGCGCGCGCGGCCCCGCCCCCGTCGACCGCCGCGCCTGCGCCCCAACAGCAGCGCTGCGCGCGCGCTGCTCTAGACCCGCGCCCGCTGCACAGGTACCAGCCCCCGGCCCCGCACACAGGCACATATAGCGCGCGAGGCCCAGCCCCCGTCGCCCGCCGCGCCTGCGCCCCAATAGCAGCGCCGCGCGCGCGCTGCTCTAGACCCGCGCCCGCTGCACAGGTACCAGCCCCCGCGCCCGCACATATAGCGCGCGAGGCCCAACCCCCGTCGCCCGCCGCGCCTGCGCCCCAGCAGCAGCGCCGCGCGCGCGCTGCTCTAGACCCGCGCCCGCTGCACAGGTACCAGCCCCCGCGCCCGCACATATAGCGCGCGAGGCCCAACCCCCGTCGCCCGCCGCGCCTGCGCCCCAGCAGCAGCGCCGCGCGCGCGCTGCTCTAGACCCGCGCCCGCTGCACAGGTAGCAGCCCCCGGCCCCGCACACAGGCACATATAGCGCGCGAGGCCCAGCCCCCGTCGCCCGCCGCGCCTGCGCCCCAATAGCAGCGCCGCGCGCGCGCTGCTCTAGACCCGCGCCCGCTGCACAGGTACCAGCCCCCGCGCCCGCACATATAGCGCGCGAGGCCCAACCCCCGTCGCCCGCCGCGCCTGCGCCCCAGCAGCAGCGCCGCGCGCGCGCTGCTCTAGACCCGCGCCCGCTGCACAGGTAGCAGCCCCCGGCCCCGCACACAGGCACATATAGCGCGCGAGGCCCAGCCCCCGTCGCCCGCCGCGCCTGCGCCCCAATAGCAGCGCTGCGCGCGCGCTGCTCTAGACCCGCGCCCGCTGCACAGGTACCAGCCCCCGCGCCCGCACATATAGCGCGCGAGGCCCAACCCCCGTCGCCCGCCGCGCCTGCGCCCCAGCAGCAGCGCCGCGCGCGCGCTGCTCTAGACCCGCGCCCGCTGCACAGGTACCAGCCCCCGCGCCCGCACATATAGCGCGCGAGGCCCAACCCCCGTCGCCCGCCGCGCCTGCGCCCCAGCAGCAGCGCCGCGCGCGCGCTGCTCTAGACCCGCGCCCGCTGCACAGGTAGCAGCCCCCGCGCCCGCACATATAGCGCGCGAGGCCCAACCCCCGTCGCCCGCCGCGCCTGCGCCCCAACAGCAGCGCCCGCTGCACAGGTAGCAGCCCCCGCGCCCGCACATATAGCGCGCGAGGCCCAACCCCCGTCGCCCGCCGCGCCTGCGCCCCAACAGCAGCGCCCGCTGCACAGGTAGCAGACCCCGCGCCCGCACATATAGCGCGCGAGGCCCAACCCCCGTCGCCCGCCGCGCCTGCGCCCCAGCAGCAGCGCCGCGCGCGCGCTGCTCTAGACCCCGCGCCCGCTGCACAGGTAGCAGCCCCCGCGCCCGCACATATAGCGCGCGAGGCCCAACCCCCGTCGCCCGCCGCGCCTGCGCCCCAGCAGCAGCGCCGCGCGCGCGCTGCTCTAGACCCGCGCCCGCTGCACAGGTAGCAGCCCCCGGCCCCGCACACAGGCACATATAGCGCGCGAGGCCCAGCCCCCGTCGCCCGCCGCGCCTGCGCCCCAATAGCAGCGCCGCGCGCGCGCTGCTCTAGACCCGCGCCCGCTGCACAGGTACCAGCCCCCGCGCCCGCACATATAGCGCGCGAGGCCCAACCCCCGTCGCCCGCCGCGCCTGCGCCCCAGCAGCAGCGCCGCGCGCGCGCTGCTCTAGACCCGCGCCCGCTGCACAGGTACCAGCCCCCGCGCCCGCACATATAGCGCGCGAGGCCCAACCCCCGTCGCCCGCCGCGCCTGCGCCCCAGCAGCAGCGCCGCGCGCGCGCTGCTCTAGACCCGCGCCCGCTGCACAGGTAGCAGCCCCCGGCCCCGCACACAGGCACATATAGCGCGCGAGGCCCAGCCCCCGTCGCCCGCCGCGCCTGCGCCCCAATAGCAGCGCCGCGCGCGCGCTGCTCTAGACCCGCGCCCGCTGCACAGGTACCAGCCCCCGCGCCCGCACATATAGCGCGCGAGGCCCAACCCCCGTCGCCCGCCGCGCCTGCGCCCCAGCAGCAGCGCCGCGCGCGCGCTGCTCTGGACCCGCGCCCGCTGCACAGGTACCAGCCCCCGCGCCCGCACATATAGCGCGCGAGGCCCAACCCCCGTCGCCCGCCGCGCCTGCGCCCCAGCAGCAGCGCCGCGCGCGCGCTGCTCTAGACCCGCGCCCGCTGCACAGGTAGCAGCCCCCGCGCCCGCACATATAGCGCGCGAGGCCCAACCCCCGTCGCCCGCCGCGCCTGCGCCCCAACAGCAGCGCCCGCTGCACAGGTAGCAGCCCCCGCGCCCGCACATATAGCGCGCGAGGCCCAACCCCCGTCGCCCGCCGCGCCTGCGCCCCAACAGCAGCGCCCGCTGCACAGGTAGCAGACCCCGCGCCCGCACATATAGCGCGCGAGGCCCAACCCCCGTCGCCCGCCGCGCCTGCGCCCCAGCAGCAGCGCCGCGCGCGCGCTGCTCTAGACCCGCGCCCGCTGCACAGGTAGCAGCCCCCGCGCCCGCACATATAGCGCGCGAGGCCCAACCCCCGTCGCCCGCCGCGCCTGCGCCCCAGCAGCAGCGCCGCGCGCGCGCTGCTCTAGACCCGCGCCCGCTGCACAGGTAGCAGCCCCCGGCCCCGCACACAGGCACATATAGCGCGCGAGGCCCAGCCCCCGTCGCCCGCCGCGCCTGCGCCCCAGCAGCAGCGCCGCGCGCGCGCTGCTCTAGACCCGCGCCCGCTGCACAGGTACCAGCCCCCGCGCCCGCACATATAGCGCGCGAGGCCCAACCCCCGTCGCCCGTCGCGCCTGCGCCCCAGCAGCAGCGCCGCGCGCGCGCTGCTCTAGACCCGCGCCCGCTGCACAGGTAGCAGCCCCCGCGCCCGCACATATAGCGCGCGAGGCCCAACCCCCGTCGCCCGCCGCGCCTGCGCCCCAGCAGCAGCGCCGCGCGCGCGCTGCTCTAGACCCGCGCCCGCTGCACAGGTAGCAGCCCCCGGCCCCGCACACAGGCACATATAGCGCGCGAGGCCCAGCCCCCGTCGCCCGCCGCGCCTGCGCCCCAATAGCAGCGCCGCGCGCGCGCTGCTCTAGACCCGCGCCCGCTGCACAGGTACCAGCCCCCGCGCCCGCACATATAGCGCGCGAGGCCCAACCCCCGTCGCCCGCCGCGCCTGCGCCCCAGCAGCAGCGCCGCGCGCGCGCTGCTCTAGACCCGCGCCCGCTGCACAGGTACCAGCCCCCGCGCCCGCACATATAGCGCGCGAGGCCCAACCCCCGTCGCCCGCCGCGCCTGCGCCCCAGCAGCAGCGCCGCGCGCGCGCTGCTCTAGACCCGCGCCCGCTGCACAGGTAGCAGCCCCCGCGCCCGCACATATAGCGCGCGAGGCCCAACCCCCGTCGCCCGCCGCGCCTGCGCCCCAACAGCAGCGCCCGCTGCACAGGTAGCAGCCCCCGCGCCCGCACATATAGCGCGTGAGGCCCAACCCCCGTCGCCCGCCGCGCCTGCGCCCCAACAGCAGCGCCCGCTGCACAGGTAGCAGACCCCGCGCCCGCACATATAGCGCGCGAGGCCAAACCCCCGTCGCCCGCCGCGCCTGCGCCCCAACAGCAGCGCCGCGCGCGCGCTGCTCTAGACCCGCGCCCGCTGCACAGGTAGCAGCCCCCGCGCCCGCACATATAGCGCGCGAGGCCCAACCCCCGTCGCCCGCCGCGCCTGCGCCCCAGCAGCAGCGCCGCGCGCGCGCTGCTCTAGACCCGCGCCCGCTGCACAGGTAGCAGCCCCCGCGCCCGCACATATAGCGCGCGAGGCCCAACCCCCGTCGCCCGCCGCGCCTGCGCCCCTACAGCAGCGCCCGCTGCACAGGTAGCAGCCCCCGCGCCCGCACATATAGCGCGCGAGGCCCAGCCCCCGTCGCCCGCCGCGCCTGCGCCCCAACAGCGGCCCCGCCCCCCAAACTCGATGACGTTCTTAAAGGTCATCTAGGACAGTGTACATTCAAAAAACAGGTACCAGCACACCCATACAGGCACATTATTAGCGCGCACTACTCTAGGACTAAGTTAAATTTTCTAATCAGCACTTAAATCCAATGCACTTTACAATACATAATCAAATACTCATACAAGCTTGAATACAGTAATCGTGTGTATCGTTTACTAAGTCGTACGGTTACATTACTAGTTACAAATGTCAAAACGGGCCTATTATTTAGTAATGACTGTAGTAGAGTGTAACTTCAGTAGTTATTAATGTTCTACATTTTATGCCCGTGTCTTTGCAATGAAATAGGGTTTTATGCTTGGCCGCGGTTATATATGTTTAAATCTAACTGGACATGATTATAAAACAAATTAGTAACCATAATCTTCCAACATTCATAGTAAAATTTCTCAATCTTTACAGCATGATTCATTTGAATAAATAGTTTCTATCTCTTTTAGGTATTGCCGTTAAAACGGCGACCTCTTGGCGGTTAAAAAGTACCTGCAAATCGTATAAAACTCGCAAATCCGAGCGGACTAGTTCGGACGACTCCACATCACCGAGCGAAGCGGAGAGAGGCCAATCGCCGCAACGGAAAAGCGAAAATCTGCGTCCGTCGACGACAGCAAATAGATCAGCATCTACTTCTACGTCTTCGAGTTCTTCCTCTAGTCTCAAACGATCTGTAGCTATTTCAAAACGATTGGCGACCTTGAGATCACATTCTTCTAACCCAAATCAAGAATCGACGAGTGCATCTTTGAAATCTTCCGGCACAGCAGCATATCGAGAATCGACTAGTCGATCTTTAAAATCTGCCGTCACAATAGCACATAGAGCATCGAGGAGTGCATCTTTGAAATCTTCCGTCACAGCAGCGCATCGAGCATCGACTAGCGGATCTTCGAAATCTTCTAAAGCATCTGTCACAACAGTGGTTTCATCGCGCGTTTCACATAAATCACAATCATCCACATCGCGAGCATCAAGGTCTGCCACTAGATCTTCGGCGCCATCACCGCTTCCAAACCGATCGGCGAGCTCAGCTTCATCCAATCCGAAGCCTATTCAATCACCTTCACCTTCATCATCATCAAACTCTTCTTACACAACAGCAAACTCAGCATCGCCGACTATTCTCTCATTCACGCCGCCTTTGACTCCAGCTACAATCTCATCTTTGTCGACAACGCCGCCACCGTCAGCTTCGATGTCGTTACCACCTCTATCGCCTTCATCATCATCAACGACGACATCGCCCGAATAGTTTTATACGTGAAACGGTCCGTTTGAACATAAAACCGCGTCATTTCAATTGGTTTCACTACTACCTAGTGATACAGTGCAACAATAGACTTCTGACTTTAGTGCAGCGATGGCTTGTAGTTATTATGAGCAAGTTTGTGTTAATGTTAGTTATGTGTTTCGATGTCGCAATTGTACATAGTTTTACTATAAGAGATAAAGCAATAAAACAATTAACAGTAAATGAAAGAATGTGTAAACAAAAATATTTACCTAACTCGAAAGGAGTCGTTGACGGGTCACAAGTTGTAAATTGTAGTTGTAAGTCGTTACGTATTTTATTTTTCGAGATTTTTGACTTGAATGCCTCATATAAATAATATATATGTATAAAATTTATTAAAAAAATATTTATAATCCTCATTAACTTATGTTTTTGCGTACGTTCAAAGTTTTAATGATCTCAATAATAATATATTATATTTTTCTCTATCAGTAATCAGGAATTATGTACTTGCATGGTGGATTTTAATGATGATTTTTTTTATACTATAAGTTTTGTTTTATCACTACACAATAAGTAAAGTCAAGAGAGAATTATATAATACTTGCAGATAATAATATACGATCCTAGAGATAAAATAAAAATAAGATATTTGTTTGAGTTTATAGAGCCTGAAACTTTGTTGTAATCAGTAAATAATAATAAGTGCCCGATGAGATACTTATGATTATTTATAGTCAAAGTTTGTAGTCTTCCTTTAATCACGTTATCAGTATGGCACTATGAAAGTTCTATGGAAAACAGCTATGTGTGCATGGGACCCTTATTAAAGCACGTGTGTACCATTAATAAGAAAAATTCCAGAAAGCTTTTCAGAAATGTTTGTTTAAGCTTATTTACGGATGCTACAAATACATGCATCAAAAGTAAATAATAGTATGTAATAAAAGTAACAAAATAAAATAAATAAATTAAAATGGTACCTACCTACACACGAAGTTAGTACCGCAAGGATTTCTGTACAATTTCTTTAGCTATATTGTCACGGACTCGGTATATTGTTAAAGATTTTCGCTCACTGTACTGTTATCGTGTTATTTATAGTTAAGTATAGATAATTAAAATAAACATACAAATTTAACTTCTTCAACAGTAAATAATATGATTTTAATGTTGATCAAAATGTATATTTTGAACTTCTCATTGCAAATACAACCGCCTATCCGACGTCCTACATTTATGGGTATCATTATAACACATATTGGTACATATTGTGTCCCCTAGTTTGGTTTTAAAACTACTTTAAGATAATTAAAAATGAATAAAAATTTACTTGTCACGAGACATGACGCTAGCTCAGGACTTAACACACACCGACTGCTTTTTTCACGTGTCAATTTAATTTCTCAAGCATTTGTGCTAGGATCCACGCCTGCATACATTACTAGTTTTATTAATGAACAAATATTCGTTATTATTCATTATTAAGAGGGTATTCGGACTTTTGGCGGGATCGGGAAGCGTCACTTTAGCAGTTTTGTATTTCTTGTTAAAAATTGTGTTGTGGCGGATGTTAGTGTATAATAATGGTGGGTTATTAACCACTAAATGTTCGGGAACATGCACAAGTGTTGGCAAGTGAAACAAAATAGCGGAAAGTATCTTTAGACGTTACCTCAAGAAGTCCACGGGGAGGTTCCAGTAAATCCCCACACTTTTACTGAAACATAGGGAAAGGGGAATTGACTTGACTGCCACTTACTTTGACTTGATTTATTACTTGACCACGAGTGCTATAGTATTTATAAACATTTTAACATTTGACATTGGCTAAATGCACGAGCCGTGCGAAGCCATTTAGAAAAAAAGAGTGTATTCATCTAAATAAATCCCGAGGTCACTTAAGTTCCTTGAGGTAAAAGTCATCCATTATTTTGAACTAAATAATTTCACTTCTTTTTATCCAGATGGAAAATTAAATTTTCTATAATCCTCTCTAAAAAAAAAGTATGGGTATGATATAAAATTCCTCCTAATTAATAAGTAGGAGGAAAGTTGAACTTTTACCAGTCGCCTAAATAAATGTCCGGAAAGTACCTATATAATTTTAACTAAAATTTTCACAATTTTAATAATGGTCGTTCTAAATACCGTGTCGAGATATATTTTAGTCCGTATTCGATAGCAGAACTAGAGTTAGATAGTTAAATCGTTATTGATAGATAGCTAAATTTTTAAAGACACTCTTTTCGTAAATTTTTATATTTTATAATATTTTTATATTCTAATGTCATACTAATGGACAGCGAATGATTGTTTGATATTGAAATGTTACTTAAGAATGAAAACGGGTTTTTATATTTTATATAATATAACGTATAATTATTTATTATCGGAATTCAGTCTAAAATAGACTTAATGAAATAAAATATCTTGATGTATTTGATATTTCCTTTCGTATAATAATTGTGTAAGTATTATTGCATTTGAACATATTTTTTATTGTAAATACTTATTTAATTAATATTGACTGTACAAACCAGATTTATTATATCCATTGCATGACATACAAATGTGTTAATTCTTTGTACAGTATACACAGTGAATTTTGAGTTATCTAAGAAACTTTACTAGCTAATTAAAACAACGATTGAGGGCATATTAATGAAAAAGATTTTTTTAATTTCTCCGCGTTAAATTTTAACTGTCATAAATTGATTCCAATAAATCCACTTTAAGGATCTATGGCGCAGCCAACCTGTGGCGTGGCTTTTCGAGATACACAAGTGCTTGTAACGGCCTAGACTGAATAAACGATATTGTTTTTTTTTTCATGTACTTAAAACGGATAATAATTGCATAATAGATATGTTATTTACAAATTTACAATTTTTTTCAATATTTTGTAAACGACATAAATTACATAGTTTACTGTTTATAAGTTTTCTATTATTTATTTAAACGATTTAAGTTTCTTAGGTAACGCAAAATTCACATTGTATAATTATTACGAGAACGCATTTGAAACCCGTTTTTAAAACCGAATTGCAAATGAATGAAACAAGAATTACAATAAAATGTAACAGTAAAAATTGCAGATGGACAATTCTATTAAATATATAAGTAAAGATGTTTTTATGAATTCTGTTGTTTTATTTAATTACATCTATAATAAGGAGATTACAAAGTAACTTACGAACGCACACAGAGACGACAATTGACTTTGTAGTTTAATCAGAACATTAATGAACATATTTATTAGTAGAAGATCCGAACCTACATCGTATACTTATATTAATGATAAAAAATGATTCATTTTATTATCAGCTCGGTGAAGGTCGTTGAAGCCTCGGATCTTAAGCTATATTGATATTTACAAAATTTTACTTATTAAAAAATTATGTATAAAACAAGGACCGGAATCACGCAATACATAGGTTCGAAAATCATAAAATGCGATGAAGATTATACTTATCCTTATCATAGATGCAAAAGGGTGCTTTGTTAACCGAAGATGCGTAAAGGATTGCTCTGCTGAAGTGGCAATGGGTGGGACACGTAGCAAGGAGAAGCGATGGCTGTTGAGTTGGAACGGTTCTCTAATAGCGACGACGCACCTGATGTCGCTCAGAGGGCAAGCTCCCCCGCCAGGTGGACCGACGATCTAGTGAAGAGCGCGGAAAGTCGATGGAAATGTGTTGTGCAGGACCGATCTGTGTGGAGATATAAACATAGTTCGCTGTGTGAGATGTGGTCAAATAAAAATGTATCCATTTTACGATATAAGTAGTCATTTCATGTGGTCAAATGAAGATTTAGTCATTTTGCAATATTAGGCATTATGCGATATAGTCATTAATGAGGTTTAGTCACACTGCGACCTAGACAATCCGAAATCAACCCCCCTTGATTTTAGTAATGTTTATTTACTAATATCATTATTGAAATATTGAAATTAAACTTTTTGTTCTAATGGTAAACTGAGTTTCTTTACAATTGCAATTAAAAGAATTTAATCCATTAACGAAATGAAATCCTTTAATCTGAGCAATTGATTTCTTTTTCACATTTCAATTTCACGCTTCTTGTTTTTGGTGTTTAGTGTAATCCGTGGTTTTATTTTCTATCATAATATTTTTGTGGCGCTCATTATTAGAACATAGTTTAAGGCCTTCACCGGTCGTGCAATTTGGCGACCTTAAACGTTTCTTTATAATAGAAGATTATAAACAAACGTTTATAATCTTCATCTTTAATTACCACTTTAGAAAGACGTCATGTCATGTCGTGTAAAGACAAAATGAATAGGTAAAAAAAGGCAAGGAGTAAGCAAAATAGAAATACAGGAAAATATTATCTTATATATAAAATTCTCGTGTCACAATGTTAGTTACCATACTCCTCCGAAACGGGCTGACCGATTTTTATGAAATTTTATATGCATATTCCGTGGGTCTGAAAATCGGCTACTATCTATTTTTCATATCCTTAAGTGATAATGCTTGTCCACCTGTAACGTAGTGTTCTGAAACCTACAATACGCCTTCGCGCCAAAATTCAAACTATTGGGTATTATAACGTAGTGTTCTCATACGAGTTAGGAGGAATGTCATCCCAGGAAATTGAAAGAACACTACGTTACACGCCCCTAAATTTTTTTTGGACAGTATTTATTTTTTTATACTTAATATTGTATTAAAAAATACATACCTACAACCCTAAATTTTCTCTTCTACCACCTGCCTCTATTTTTATGGCGGTACGAAGTTCGCTGGGTCAGCTTGTAGAACATATATATTTACAAGAACAAAGTATTTATTTACAGAAAAATAATAAAAAATAGGGGTATGGTGTGGATGTGTGAAGTGTATAGGGCGTAGGAGACTTGAGCGGGAGGCCGTGCTGCTGGCAGATGGACGGCGCTCCTGGAGGGCGGAAGCGCTCCTGGTCAGGCGTGTCTCAATTCTTGGCCTGCCTTGCTGCTGGCTGGCGGGCGATGCCGGTAGGTTGGCCGGCGAAGTGGTACGACGACGGGCACTGCTGGTGGAACGGCAGGCGCAGCTGGTAGGCGGGCCGAAGCGGCTGGAGGCTTGGCGATGCTGCCAGAGTCCGGGCTGCAGTAGAGGTCCGCCGTTGAGGATAACCGTATAGTGGTTTAGTGGAGTATAGTCAGACGTTTTTAGTAAGCCATAGGGTGTAAGGCTATTAGATCTTTGCTTGAGTCCCGGGGCAGCGGGCCCCGGGACAAGGCCTTTTAGAAATTTAGAGCTCGGTAGCGAGCTAACCAAAAGGTAGTTTGGCAACTTTTGCCGAAGAAATGGTTGAAGGATCAGAGTGTCTCGGCCTTTTATAGATCTGGAACCATTTAAATTTAGACACGGTTCGAATTGAACTAAAAAGAAGAATTAAAGTAGGTATTCTGTGAAGGTTCAATAGGCATAGACCGAGTTGGAAAGAGTATCCGTGTCATGGGAACGGTAAAAAACATTAATATGTCAAATATGTCAAGAAAATTATACCTAAAATTAAATAAAATCGGAGTAAAACAAGGAAAAGGGTATTGTAAATATTATAAATAAATATCAGAATATAGTGTCGGTAAGTGTCCAACACTCTGGAATAGTGATTTTTAGTAGGTGCTTACATGAAATTCTTATACGTATTTACAAAATAATAAAAGCATGTGATATTTTTGAAATTGTGCATTTAAGGAATGAATAGTAAAATATGTGTATAAATAAGTATGATTGATAAATGATGGTGGGTGACTAAATGTGTGAAATGGAATCTATGTTTGTCAAAAGGAAGGATTGCCTCTGAGGTACGTTACAGTCATTTGGCGATATTTGACGAATACAAAAAAAATACTATTTGTGAAATTCTTTACCGGAATCCATACGACGGGATAGCACCCTCGCATTACTAGACACCTGTAGACTCATTTCGAGATCAAGTTAAGCACCTTTTCCTATTCTTTATTTGAACATACCTCTTTCCCTTCTTTGTTTACGTGGGACACTCAGAAAGATTTGAGAAACTAAAAAACTAACTTCTATGAAAAAAAATATTTTTAATAAATCTTTTCAAAGAACTCTCCAACAAGTTCTATACAAAGTTTCATGCGTCTGAACCAATTTTCAAAACATTTTTTCAAGTCATCCGCAGACACCTCTTCCACGGCCTTCTTAAACGCTGCTAGCGCTTTTAACGGCGATGAAATCTGTATCCCTTGAGCTGTGAAAATTTAAGGGAATTAAAAGAAGTCACACTGAACCAAATCAGGACTGTAAGGTGGGTGTCCCAAGACTCTGACTGGTGTGGAGTCCAGGAAGTCCTTCGTTGTCGTGGTGAAGCAGGACCCCGCGGAGCACGGTGTTAGGTCGCTTGTTGCTCATTGCAGAAAAAACTTCTGGCAGGCATTTTGTGCTATACCATTCGGCGTTGATGCTGCGTTGGTCTCGAAGTGGAATTGAAATCAGGTACCCTGTCAAAGTGAAGAAACTAGCGATCAATATTTTCCCTGCGCTCCTCGATCGCTTCAATTTCGTAGGCGTTGGTTCATTTTGAAACAGCCAAACTCTCGACTGACTCTTTGTTTCTGGATCGTATTGATAAATCCAGGATACGTAACGCGCAATATCTTAAACGCGCTGTGACGAACCTGCATAAAATTTTTGTATCATATCACTGCACCAATCCACGCGGGCCTGCTTCTGAGCTTCGGTGAGGTTGTACGGCACCCAGCGGGAAACTATCCTCCTTACGCAAAGGTGCTCGTGCAAAATCTTTTGAACACTTCCTGAACCAATCTGCAGAGTATGCTGAATCCCTTCGTAAGTAAGTTGTCTGCTTTCTCGAATTAAATTTTTTAACTGCCAGCAGTGGCGGCGCTAAACCACATGTGGACGTCAGCGACATCAAGTTCGCGAGGCCTATTTTACTTCGCAGTAAAAAACCGTTAAATTAAGTGAGCCAAATTATAAAATGATGTAAACGAGTTTTATTGTTGATAATCAAATGATGACAAAAAATAATTACAAACATAGAAATTTAATGACAAAAATAGTGTTGCCAGACAGACGATTCTGAATACCTGTACAGTACTACTCGCTTCTACACGCACGTGTTCGAAAATAATAAAAGTCATTATCATCTGCTTATGTTTTTCCCCGAATTGTTCGGGGTCGGCTACCTAAGCCAGGCCAGGAGAAACGAAAATAAATAGGTAACTTCTAAAAATTTTTTGCGAGGCTCCCTCAGGCGCGAGGCCGTCGGCGGTGGCCGACGTCGCCGACGCCTAGCGCCGCCACTGACTGCCAGCACACTTTCTTCGGTAACAGCCGTCGTAGGACGATCACTCCTTTGTTCATCCTCCAAAGTATGACGACCGCGTTCGAACTCGCTACAACAGTGGTAGATGGTGGCTTTTGAATGTCCTTCATCCATAAAAGCAGTCCGAAATCGATCAAATGACTCATCGGGTTTTAAGCCACATTTAAATCGTAATAAATCATAGCACGAAAATGTTCTCTATGCAGATCCATTTTTAATGAGACAAGAAAAACTTAATTGACTCAAAAAAATTCGGAGGGAAATTTAAAAATCGAACCCACTGTTCGATTACGATTATTTTTACTTTTAAATAATCGAAGTTTTCAAAATAATTACAAGAGGCCAGTGTCTATACATATACATAAAAATTTTTTTTCGCAAAACTTTCTGAGTCTATATAAATATCTTATCTTCAATATTGCTTTTAAACCCTATTTATTTCATTTTCCATCATGAGATTGCTATTTGACAATAAGACCGCCCATGTTTAATGTCTCTCTATTATTGCGGGCTTACTTTTTGTCCTATCCTACACTAAACACTGACGGATATTAAAGACAAGTTACAGGCCAATATTATTGCATTTTAAAATGGCACAAGTAATCTCCCCGCCCCAACGGTGTCAGCAACTGTCAGAATAAGTAATCATTAAATATTTTTACATTATTTTTGTTTTTCATGTTTTTAATAGTTCCTGCGTATATTATGTACTATGTAAAAACACGCATAAGGTTTTTTGTCTGGAAAAACGTAAAATACGTTGTAGCAAAGTGTAGCCACGATGAGAGAGCGTGCCCGACTGAATG